GGTGCAGATTGATGAGCGTGTCCGACAAATGGCTAACATCCTGGGCCAGGTGCGGGGCCCCGGGAACGCGTCCCCTAACACCAGGGCCTCGGTGGCTCAGGATGCAGACGGCGTGCTGCGGCCTCTCATGGACTTCCTGGACGGCAAGTGAGTACGGCCCTGTGGGGGGGACGCGAGGTGGAGGGAAGCAGACCGAGGCGTCTCTGCAGGAGGGCCTGCCCTCACTGCTGCCTGCGCCTGCAGCCTGACGCTCTTCGCTGCCGTGTGTGAGAAGACGGTGCTGAAGCGCGTGCTCAAGGAGCTGTGGCACGTGGTGCTGAACACGATGGAGAGGATGATCGTCCTGCCCCCACTCACCGACCACACGGTGAGGGCACCTCCTTCCTCGTCCTCTCTGGGCTCCCTTCCCCTCGCGCCCCACTGCCCAGTCACCGTCCTGTTTGGAGTGCTCTGCTCTTACCCGGTCCCCTCTCTGCCTAGGGTACCCAGCTGATCCTCACTGCTGCCAAGGAGCTGAGCCAGCTTTCCAAACTCAAGGTGCTCTGGGTGTGGGGTCCTCCTGACAGGCAGGGGAGGGGCCTGGGGAGGACGTTTGAGCTCTGGAGCCTGAAAGAGGACAGGAGGACTAGCTGTGGGGCCAAGCTGCCCTGACACTGCTGCATTCCCTGATATTCCAGGACCACATGGTGCGAGAGGAAGCGCGAAGTCTCACTCCCAAGCAGTGTGCTGTTCTTGACCTTGCCCTGGACACCATCAAGGTGAAGACCTCCCCCTCCTCCAGAGAGTCTTGCTCGCACACCCACTGGGGCCTGATGGTCTCCTCGGCCACACTGGGGGTCCTCAGGTCCCTTCCCGGTCCACATCCAGCAGAGAGGGGCGGCTACGCTTGTTATTTCCCTGCTGTGCTCACAGGGCTTTCTTCAGCTTCTAAGCCCTGCTTGGAGCAACCAAAAAGGCACCTCCTGTGTGGTCTCAAATGACTGCCATGGACCCAGGTTCTGAGGACCGTTCAGTTCACTTAATTCCTCGTTGTTATTCCTGAGTTTTTCCCACAGGGAATTAATCTTCCAGATCTTAATACTCCAGGTCTGGCTGGCTTTCTTCTGCTTAAATATTAAGTCACTGGGGTTTTCTGCCGTCCTCTCATTCATTCTATTGTGGAACGTATACACCACGCCCCCTGCACTATGAAGGATACAGAAAATTAGATGTGGTTCCTAACCCAAGGCACTTAGAATCCAGTAAGAAGTAATACGGCAAGTCCGTACAATTGAGGGCCCTTGGGAGAGGTTCACCCCAGGTACTGAGTTTTCCAGGGGTTCAGAGGGGCAAAAGAACCGCTGTGGCTGTTCTCACTCCTGCGAGGGTCCCCTCCAGATCTTAGCCGTCCTGACCCACCCCTCCTTCCAGCACCACCTCCGGCCTCTTCCCCTGCTGCCCAGCCCTCCAGCCTCCACTGCCAAGTACCCACGTAATGCAACCTGTGTGACGTTTTATTGGGCGTGTACCGGAGCGGGCTGTGGGTGGTTCGCCCACAGCCTGGAACTGGCTTTCTGAGCATATTCCTGACTTTAGTTTATTAACGGGCTGCTTCCACACTTCACCAAGCCTCTGCTCAGATGTGATTTCTCTGAGGACAGTGCTGGGGACCCGCCATGTCTATAAGGCATGGGGCAATGGCAGGTGCTCTTTTATCTTGCAGCAATACTTCCACGCGGGAGGCAACGGCCTGAAGAAAACCTTCTTGGAGAAGAGCCCCGACCTGCAGTCCCTGCGCTATGCTCTGTCCCTGTACACGCAGACCACGGACACGCTCATCAAGACCTTTGTGCGCTCCCAGACCGCCCAGGGTAAGCCCCCCAGAGTCGGGGGTCACACCTCCTTTCCCAGAACATCTCTGCCCTAGGAAGTTCATGTCCACTAGTCCCTAGGGAGGATCCAGTTACTTTTTCAGAGAGCCCTTCAAACAATGCCAGGGTTTCTCAAGAAAGCCCAAGACATAGCCTCCACCCCATACCTGCCCCGACGGGAGAGTCACTCAGGCTGGAGCTTGTCTCCCAGACTCTGTCTGGCCAGCGCATGTGCATTGGGCTCCAGGAGGGTCTGCCTGGTGCAGGGTGAGGAGAGGAGATGCCTGGGAGGGTGCTGAGGATGTGTGGCCGGGACACCTGCGTGTTCTAG